TATTGATAGAACTAGATAAAAATATGTTCTACCAATGTACATATTATATTTTTGGCAGGTTTATTGATGACCAATATTCAAAGAATTTCAATCATTTGTTCAAAATAAAAGTGATTTTCACAGTAAAAACAATGATCAAATGAGCACTGAAAATATTTTTAGGAAAAATTATCACTCACTTTGGATTTCCCAACTGCTTGGTAAATTTTACTTTAACATTGTGGTTAATTTTTCAAAGAAAATTTTTTTAATAAACAATAATTGATAGAGATTTATTGTCTAATTTGATCGGCATGTCTGAAATTTCGACAACTTGACATTTCAACACAGTTATTCATAATTGTGTACTTAATCAGAATCCGATGATTGAGCAGAGCTGAATTCTTGAGTTAATAGCACCAACTGAGCTCTGGATACCTCACTTGCAGCAACTGAAGTCCATGGATTCTTCAAGCTTTCAGAATATCCTCCGGACCAAGATACTCATGACGGTCTGTTCATGGTTACAACATGGGTATCTTCCTCATTGCTTGTCTAGCCCAGCTCTTACTTCCAGATCGTTGTAGCCTGGGGTGATATAGCCTTGGATCGCGAGCACGAAATTCCACTATCCGTTCATCACGATGCAATTCTCTCGGTGGATGCATAAAGGGTAATTCTGCACCACCAGTCTACGATCATCAACCCTAGGTGCCATCGTACAAGGAACATTGAGAGATGAATTCCATGGAAACTGAATTCGTTTTTTTTTTTATCTGCCATTACCACATCATCAATTTATCTCTATCTACATCTAAACTATCGATTCTTCTATAGAATCTGTACAAAAAATAACCGCTCGTTTTTTATTTGTACCACGATTAACACTGCCTCGTTTATTTCTATAGACTTTGATTGATATTATCTTAAAGTGTATATTTAGAGGTTGAAATTTATATTGCAATCGTTGCTTTACATTCTTTTCTTATCAGTTTGTTAATTGTCGGAATAAAATCTACACTTCACACCTTTTAGGAGAACATAAAATTCAAGAATGATGATGAGAATGTGAGAATAGTTTGAAAACTATAAAAATCTCATTTTACAAATGTACTTATCGTTTTTTTTTACATTCAACTTCTGTATTGAAATCAATAAAAATTTCAATGATACAAATTTCAATCTCACTCACAATACAGAGAAAAATTCCTAGACAATCCAATTTTGCCATAAAAGCTATTTCCTGCATCAATACACCGTTTTCAAGGTAATAGATAAAATATAATAGATGTGCAAAATATACCAGAATTGAAGTCATTTTTATAGAAGTATGAACACTGGAACAACAAATGAAGCATGTTTTTTTGCCTTTATTCGTACCACAAAGCAGTAGAATACTATAATTCTTCAGTTTAACTTAAGTTGATCAATAATAGCACAATTGTGATTATGAGATTATTGTACTTTTGATGCAAAAATAGTTCTAATCACTTTGAAAGTTTGAAACAAGAAAACAAGAAGCTGGAGAAACTTCTCCATAAAGAGCATTAACTTCGCCAAAGTCTAGCCTCATGGATATATTCATTGTTTTCAACGTTCATCCACATTTGAGTGTTGGTACATTGAGTTTAATTAACAAAATTGATACAACAATACTAATTCCAAAAACAAGTAAATATTCTACATTTTGGAGCTATGTAAATTGGAGGAAGATTACAAGTATTTAGAACATGCTAGTTTCATTGCTTTTTAACCAGTGAATGAATTTATTCACAAACTTAACCACTTGCTAAATCTAATTTTAACAAATATTAGGAAATTGATAAAAAAATCAAGCTTATTCTACTCAGGATTCTTTCAATCTAGATAGCTTTATCAATAGCATTATTTATCAAATGTTGAAAAGAAGTTTGAAGTTCCACTAAGAATTAACAACAAAAAATAACAAATACTTTTTTATCTTCCAATGTTATACAGTTAATTTAAAAAAAAAACTTTAAACAAGGTAGATAAATAAAGTTAACGTTTAAAATTAGAGCTAAATAACTCTGTTAAATCTTCATCACTGAAATTCCACTCTCGGACGAAGTCTTCAAGTTCTACAGCAATATCGAACTTTAGAAATACTTGAAAGTTTATTGTTTAATTAAATAGATTTATAGATTTTCGAATTAAAAGCAAAAAGGTTAATAATTTTTGATATCTCAATCTACCTTTTGCTGGGTAAATCATTTTTGCAGTGACTGTCCACTTCTATCAGTAAAAATTTATCAAGGGATCAGTTGGAGTAATGCACAATGTAACAGCTTTTACCAGTGCTGAAAGCTCGTGTTTGTGCTTATGCGTCAATCCACCTGGGATGAATCCACTCTGCACAAGAGCGGCCGCTTGGGTCAGATCTCTCGCTCAGTGGCTTTCGTCTGACTCGATACCAACTGGAACCACTCGCTCGAGTGCGCTTGACTGGTTCATTTGGCTACATCAACAATCTTTCACCAACCTCGGAAATCTTTCATTCATTTGCTTTTAGAATCACTCTCAGAGTATTATTCTTTCTTATTTCGCATCACTGCATGATAATATTTAAATACACAATATTAATTTATAATTATTTTATCGTTGGTAAACAGTCTTCATAAATTACCAATAAATGATTTCTCTCGTGTAATAATACCTGAAGCTTCTTTTCTATAACATTAATTCTATAAAAAAAGTATTGGAATTGATTGAATTTAATACGTGATCCATTTAAATGTTTTAAATAATAAATTTATATTGAATACGTGAGAAATGTAGAGTGAATGTGTTAAAAAATCACAGATTACACACCTTCCTTTCTTTTATAATATTTTTTTAGGATTGGAAATTTTTTGGAAGACTATTCTTTGCACATTTTACATGTAGCGACAAGCTGGGCCTCACAGCTTGTGAGGCCCATTTCCCCACCACTAACTTCTTCTACACTTCTTCCAGTAGAGAACTAGTCTTTTTCTAACAGTCAAAAGGTAAGTTATTTATTCTTAAAAACCCACTAATCTAATTGACAACAATTAGACATTACTGCCAAATGGCTGATTTCATCATCATCACTGCTAATTTTTTCTTTTCTTTTGTTATTAAAAGCTTTTTATAAACATTGGTACAAGTTATATCCTATAACAGGTACAAACAGGAAAACTTATTAACTAGACCTTATCTACTATTTACATAACAACAGTATGATGATTATATAAACTTATGACAGATTACAAACTGTACTCAAGTTTAAACAATTTTTTTATAGCCAGAAGGCTACCTTATAATAATAAATGAATAAGTCTTAGCTCCAGTTATTTAAAAAATTTAAGACTGTGTGGGGAAGAAACAAAATTTGGACGAAAAAACCCTCTGTAATTATATGAACAAAAGGAAATTTAGTAATTATCATCACTGCTAATTGTTGACCTTTTCTCAACAAAAAATCTATCATCATTTATAATTTTATAACCTCAATTAACAGCTTCTTATTTAATGAAAAATAACCAGCTTCATTGATATCTATTTTATTTACTGTGTTCTGCATAGTCTGCTGGAAAATCTCGTATTATCGAACAAATTGACACCAATGAAAAGTAAAACAGTACTCGTGTATTTTTGACGTTTACATGAATGAAAGTGATGAAACAACTGTGACATGACTACACCAAAAAAGCTTGATGAAATGAATTTAAAACTATTGGGAGTTAGGATGGGTATTTGTGAAATAATCAAGTACAAGTTGAATTTCTATTTAAAAATTTATAACTTAGTATAGTTCAGACATTTTGCAAGTTAAAATGGCTGGAAGAAGTCTCGAATACATTTGGCGATGGGGTGACCGCAGAAAACCGAGCGTCGATTAAATGCAAATCTCAGGGGAACTCTTATCGCTATCGCGGCACGACTGGCACGTGGTAGTGTATCCCACAAAGAGCATAAAACCCTATCGTTACTTGATTTCTCTTTTTTTTTTTCCTTTTTAATCTACCCTATGATACAATTAGCGGTCGAGGTTCTAGGATCGTTTTCTCGTTAATTAAACGTTTGCATGCGATCGTATCTACCGATATGACTCTCACCTACTTCATTCTCACGTTTTTTTGCTGTCGAGTACATTAGCGTAGATGTAGTTCATGTCACAACATATATCCTCTGTTATTTACTATAATTTTTCGGTGGATAATTAAGTATTATAATTAAAGATGACGAAGGAGAATGGATATATAAATAAAATATTCTTTCTAAAATAGCCAGTATTTGTATCCCAACAGGATAATGGAAGAACAAAGGCAGGATAATTGAAATTTTTTATCAATTTTCATATCATTACAAAAATTATATGATAAATGAAGTATTATGTATAAATGAATTTATTTATTAATTTTTAATTAATGGAAAAAATCTAGTTGAATTAATAATAATTACATTTTTCCAAAAGATTCATTGTGAGGATATTTTTAAACATTTTAGTAACATACCATTTGATGGAAAATAATGAATAAATTCACTAACAGAACTTTTGAAGAGTGATTAAGAACTTTTTAAATCCTCTTCTGCTTATAGAAGATGTTCAATAAAATATTGGTAGATGAAAAAAAATTAAAGTTCCTTGGAAGTATTTTGTTTGTGCAATTTAAAATTGTTTTTACCTACATGATTTGAAAGGTCACTCTAAATTAATTGTTTAATTATTTTTCACAAAGATCCGTATACTCTTTCGTTGTCTACTAGCTGCAAAGCTAGGGCAAAAACTTAGAACTCCATGTTTGTGTTTTTTATTGCAATTAATTCAATAAATTAATTGCACATTACGACATAACAATAGATTATTAACTGATCTAAATGAAAAAGAATTGAAATAAATGAACTAAACAGAAATTTGATAAAATACTTGATTGGTCACTTAATAAATTGTTCAAAATATTCACTTTCATTTAGTTGGTAAAACCACTCGTGTAATTCTTGACGCTCTTTTGCAAAAAGTATGAGCGACCTTTTTTGTGCTATGCTCCGAAATTAACCTACATTGGAATTTAATTAAAAAGTAGTTTAATTAACTCACCGTACGGTTTCCTGGATGCTTGACGTGACAACTGAGTGCAGCTTTTTGTCCTACAATAGCTGTGACGTTTTTCTGAGAGATGTCGTCGAAAGAAGGCTTATCCCACGGTCGGGCAGGTTTGCTACCTCCTGCGACGACACTTGCCAAGCTTGAGCCTCCTGAAAATAAAACGAAATACTTTTTCTTAATCTCAGAAGATTTTGTATAATAAATTTTTGTAACATAAAGCCTTGGGAGCTCACTAAATAATTTTTCCTTTCATTTATCGTTGTTGTTATCATTTTATTCCGTTTAGTTTTGTAGTATTCTTTCTTTGTTCGAATGAGAGGAAGGAATAACACAGAAAATCTCATGAGAACTGTCAAGGGAGTATAATAAGCACTGAATCTGGAATTACACTGGGAACCATGACAGTATAAATGTATAAAAATTTTTTCTTATAATTAATCTTCTCGTACACTTCAATTCTGTGGTTGCAAGCACTTTTTAATCCAAAGCGGATTTCTCTAGAGTTTTTGAAATGTAAGAGAAACATTTTCCAGTATAATAATGATCAAGTAATACGCTGTAAGGGACAGAATAATAAAAATTAAGAATAAAATACTTGCACAGTCAAGAAAGAGTAATAAAATATAAATCAAACTTGCTGAATAAAATTCACAATTGTGATAAATCGGATAAATAAAATTATTAAATAAAAATTATAATTCGTTTTATTGACATTAAAAATCGATTTAATTAATTCATTAATCGATCATCATATAGCTACACACATGGTAATATTCTCCTTCATTCAATACTCGACATAAATGCATTGACAGAAGAAATTTGTGATGATAAAGAAGGCTTTTCAACTATTAAAAAATATTTTGTAACAGTTAAAAAATTATATCTTAACTATTGAATATGACCCCATCGCTTTCTAAAAATGGCACAGTAAAAAAAAAAGAGATACACTGCAAAATCAGTGAATATTTTGCAGAATAAATTGAACCATTGATTGAATCAGTTCATTATGTTCACTGCACTCATTTCAAAATTATAAGTGATTACATTAGGCAACTTCTCATTTGTACACGGAGAGAATTTTTTTAGTAAATGTAAGTGCAAAAAGTGACAAGTCTACGTTTCGAAATTTAGAAGTAAAAATATTTCTGTTCAACAGTGAATTTGGAGTTATCTTAAGTAATTTTTTTACTAAGACACCTTTTAAGTCTCAAATCAATTTACAAGAACTCAAAACTTACTATCGAATAGTAAATTTTTTACTTCTAAATTTCGAAACGTGGACTTGTCACTTTTTGCACTTACATTTACTAAAAAAATTCTCTCCATGTATTAAAAATTATCTTTGATTTTTGTAAAAAGAAATTGTTTGTTATTTTCATTCAGGTGAATTACAATCTGTTACTTTTTAACATTAAGTAATTGTTGTTGTTGTTTTTTTTAACGGTAGCATGAATGGACTGTGTTTAGAGGATCCTCCAATGAGTTACTCTCTGTTGTAAAAGGAAATTAAATAAATTTATTTGACTTTAAATTGTTCTTACACATTATTGACCACTTTTTTGAAGACAAGTGTTGATACTTGTGTGCATAAACTCCAATGAATCGATAAATATGAATAGTTCTGATCAATAAAAAGTCAGATAGCATTTACGAACCCCGGTTTATTACTGTTAAGAAATATTTATTTACAATAAAATAAAATTTATTTATTATAAAACTCCCAATCTGTTGATAACCAAAGCTTTTTTTACTGTTATAAAATAATTCTTAGCAATTTAAAAACATTTTAACAATTAATAAATTTTCTCTTGAGAGTAATAAATCTCTTCTATTAGCGTTGAAATTAATAATTGATTTAATTAATTAGTTAATTAATCACTGTAGTAACATGTATGGTTACATTATACTTCATTCAATACTCGACATAAATGTAATTCAATGCTTTCTATAAATAAGCATTTCACGGTGTTAATTCCTGTAAAATAAGATAAGATTACAGATATTTAGGATACCCAACCTCTATTCATTCAATGTAATTTTCACAAGCTAAACGACTTTATCGCAGTGAAAATTATTTATATAGTAGAGGAAAATTTGCCGAGTTCTACCGAGACTTTCGCACAGAAAATAAGAAATAGTTTTCCAACTTAGAATTTTATATAGTTTACGTAGCAAAAAAAAAAGAGTTCAAAAAAGATAAATAAATAAAATAAATGAGTAAAAAGTAGAGGTGCGAAGCTCTGTTAAAGCTCTAGCAATGAAGCTTGCAACTTCGAGGTACAAAGTTTCGCGTTCAGAAACTATTGGAAAATACCTTTATCCCAACACATCGATATTATTACAGTAAATAAAGTAAATATATATATTTAATAACATTCTTCGATAAAATTTATATTATTTATGAATACTATTATGATTTATTTTATTCACTAGAAATTTCCCTTGGAAAATTAGAATTTTAAACTTCATTACAATGGATAAGTTTTATTAAAGGTACATAAAACATATCAACTGTCAATAATAAATTATAACAAATATTTAAACAATAAAAAAAATTATTTTTCGTTTTACATATTTAATTAAAGATTAAAAATAAGTCTAGACAAGCTTTGCGCTCATTTATTGAAGTACGTAATTTTGTCATCCTTTAGTTTTTTTGTTTATAATAAATTGATATTGTTATAAACAATATGTAATTATTTAGAGTCATTAACAAACCTATTTCAATGCCCTCTGTTGTCAATAATTTTAATCATTTAATAAGCAGAATCTGTTTTAAATGTTTTTTTGTTATTTAACTTATTTTACAGTCTTTTTGTTATAAAAAATCTCTTTTTAGATCTTCTTCATTGTATTATTTTTCGAATGAGATTAGTCTAGAGTCTATAGCCCTAGTGGTTCTTGAAATATTAAAAAAAAACCTGATATACGTACGTACAATTATACGTACGGGCAATTTTACGTACGTACATCTATTTTTAAACCTTCCTATATGATTTCAAATGTCTCAAAGCGTAAAAATATGATAAAATGACGAATTTCAAAAATTGACCCAATTACAATAACTTCCTAATGGGAAGTTAAAAATAAAATTAAAAATTAAATTAAATGGAGTATCAATTTTGGTAGAGAGTGTTTTTATTAATATAGAGAATAAATTAATTTTCAGTGAATGAAATAATTTAATATTTAATTGGATATTCTCTTCGAGATCCAAACTCTGATAATTAAATCAAAATCAAGCTCAAAGAGTCAATTTATGGGCAGCAATCGTGGCAAATTATATTGCCTCAAAGTCTCTAGAGTATGTTAGTGTAGTATAGACGTAAGTTATCCTCCACTAGATCGTAAAGTACATAAATTCATGACGTTAGAAAGCCGCATACCGAGTGCAGTTTTGGTAACCGCCATAACCCATTTTACGAGTCACGTAAGTATTACACATTACATGTACACGTGAAATGCAAGAGAAAAGGATAGTGTAGGTGAGAAGCAGCAAAACTTGGTGGTTGAGAAAGAATTTCTTTAAGATCTCAACTGATCGTACAATACACGTTTTAACGTTGTGTTAAATAAAAACTTTAAAGCGTACGTTATTGCGTATATATCGACGATGGACAAAGGATTGGCACGTCTTGAAAACTTTGATAGCTTTTTCGTTTGTATATAGATACCGTCTATATAACTTTCTACATCTGAAAAATATCTACCATTTTTCCAGAAATTCTATCAAAATCATTTCTATTAATGACTTTAAAAAATATTTTAACAAATTCAATTAATATATTTCATACAAATTTTTTCGACTATGAAATTAAAACTTTAAATAGTTGCAAGAACATTTTTTTTTGGGGATTGATATGGGAATATTTTTATACATTCAGTTTTGAGAGTTACTTGGAATAATTCATCATAAAATAGTATATTTCACACCTAGGGAGGAAAAGTAGACTAGCTCAAACCACGTGTAAAATTACAACCCGAGCCGAAGGCGAGGGGGGTAAACACGTGGTTTAAGCTTGTCTAATTGTCCTCCTTAGGGCTGAATATAATTTTTCGTCATACCTGAGTGGAAAGTTCAACCCCTCTCCAATGGAAAAGTGAACTTTCCGCGCAGGCATGACGAAAATACATTTTTTTTACACTGTCAATCGAAAGTGTGTTAAAATAACACACTTTTTGCATTTTCAATGTTTAGTTTCTATACACAAACTATAGAGTCTTGTAGTTATTTTTTACACACTTTAAGACGTGATGTTAAACATTGTAAACACTTTAATTTTTAAACTTTTTAATCTGAGTAAATTCTGTAAAGCGATATTTTTGATTAATTGTAATTAGTTTCTTTAATAGATTGTTTGCAAAATTTTTCATAAATAAATATTTGACATTCAATTTGACTACTGCTTTGGTAGTCGAAAAAAAATCTAGCAACATTGCAGTTCAAAATTTGAATTAATTCATTAATTTAAATAATATATTTTAATGCAATTACTACGTTTTTCATTTATAATTTTTTTTTATGATTCATATACTCTATAAAAGATTTCACATTCAGGCAACCATCTATAAATTCGTAGGTATTATACACATCCTTAAATGTTTAGTTTCTAAACACTTGAATATGTAGTGTCATTAAATTAATTTAATTTAAATAAATAATTAAATTAAATCAAATTTTTTTTAAATCCATGGTGTTTCATAAAGTGAAAAGTAATCCAACATCACTTGTACTTAAATTCATCAGAATCTTGAACCAAACATGAAGATACATTTTTCAAGTAAAATTTGATTAAATTAAATAAAATATTTTATTGCGAATATTTAAAATTCTTTCCATTGATTCAATTGTTTCTCAGTGCAGTAAAGGAATTATTAAAAAGCAAGATAAATGTTTCTAAACAGCAACCTGGGATTCTCCAAGTCAGTCTATCTTTCAAGTACATCAAATAAACATGTCATGTGTTTTCTCTTCATGATTATTTAAATTTATAGCTATTTTGATAAAACGATTAAAGTTATTATCCAACATAATTTGACCAGCTCATATATAAATAATATAGTTAATAGAATATGTTCGAAACTCATACCTTGGTTGTTGAGGGATTCAAAGAGGGGACGTGGGTGGTTTGCTTATAAACCTGTGGAT